TATGTACATTAGATGAATCTAATCCCATTCTTGTTTCGGTGTCTTCATTTCTGGATTGTGATTTGGGGCATTTTTCCAATGTATGTCCCGTTTGCTTGCAAAGAGTACAGCTTGGTCCGTCTACGGAGAAAAATATCCTGTATGTCGTTTCCTCGAAGGTTATAGTGGTAGAGTCTACGATTTCGCTAACAGGTGGTGCAATATACACTTGTCGACGGAAACTGAGAATGTGATTGTATTCATTCTCCGGCATTCCAACTCGGAGGTAAGTTATGCGGGAGAGTAGCTTCAGGCCCATAGTTGTTAGTGAACTTTCAATAATGTTGTTTGGCACAGAGGGGCAGACATTTGAAATAACTAGCCTTTGAGCAGGTGTAACAAGTCGTCTTATTTCGATGTCGTGGTCTTGGATCTTTATGGATTTGTGTTCAGTGATTATTTTGTCCACGCTATCAGTGTTACTCAGATACATACAGATTCGGCCGTTAGCAATTCTTGATGCGAACAGTATATTTTTGGGACCTACAATCGAGCCAATTGCAATAATATAATCATGGATTTTTATTCCATCTACTGCTGTTAGGAGAATCGCTTGGTTTTTTGATGGTGTTTTGCTGACTGGTTGCTGTAGGAGTGCACTGGAGTATGATGATGAAGTAGGTGTACTGTTTCTATTATTATCAGGTTGAGTCATGCTTAGATAGTTTTAGTGCGAGACTGGTTGACAAAATTCTGGAGCCGGCCCTGGCGGTACTGCTCGAACTCCGCGTGGATCTAGGTGCAGTACGGCTGACCGTACCGCACCGGTGTTTGTTTACGTTTAGCGATATCTCTTGCAGTAATGTAAGGACGTCCACTTACTTGCTGGTTTTTTGGTGACCGACGTCTTGGTGAGTGTTGGATTGATGGGTGAACTTTTCAGTAAATAAATCGAACTAATAACTTTCACACATGATATAAACTCGCAGAGTACTATCGATACTGCTTTCAAGTTAGACGGTCAGGACCGTCCACCTATTGTTTTATTTTACTTTTTAGGGCTAAGTATCAATTTTCTTCTCCACTGTCGCCTATGAAACTAAGTTTTTTCAATGCATTTAAATAAAATCCTAGATTGTTATACCTCGTTAGATAGCTGATAAAACATAGATATTTTAAAACACATCTGCCGAACAATTGCCATAATATTTTTTTTTTTAGATATCCCTTAGAGAAAAATAAACTTTCTGATATTTTTTTCAATTTCTTAACATTCACTTATCTACTACAGCCTATTCAATTAACTTATGGACTATTTTAATGATTGACGTCCTAAAGCATCTTATTACACATGTTAAAATGCAATAATAGTAATATTAACACACACAAAATAAAAATAAATACATTTAGTAGCCTAAAAATCGGCAATTTTCAATAAAAACATTAAAAGTTGAATATCTCGAAAAGGGTTAAGTTTAGGGTAGGGTGTTTCATAATGAAATAAGTCAGAAATGATGGGTACTACACGCCCTTAACGGATCTAGCACAACTTTTCCTGTAACCCTGTAGAATTAACCTTTTTCTTGTTTCCTTCAGTTAATGGTTAACAGTTCGTTTTTGTTCCAAGTTTGTATATTTTCGTTTTTCAGAAAATAAACTTTATGAATATTTATAATTGTTGCTAAATTCTTTAAACATCTACAATTCTTAATTATGAGACGAGGCGGAATATAATTAACAGATCAAACGAACTTACCTGTAGTGAAGTTCGATCTGAATTATATGAAGCCTCGTCGAAGTAATTAAGTCCCTCCCGACCCAGCCCTAAGCATACAATTATAAATATTTGGCTTGCTTTAAAAAGAATGACCAAGTTCGCCGGGGTCGGGGATCAGCGGCGTGCAGGGAATCGAAAAATCGATATCTTCAAAATGCGTGTGGTTGGATAGTAAGTGGAAGTTACTACAATTCTTAATTACTTCGACGAGGCTTCATATAATTCAGATCGAACTTCACTACAGGTAAGTTCGTTTGATCTGTTAATAGTTTGTGTGCGACAAGTACTGATGTGCATTTATTTATGAAAAAGCTTTAAAGTAAATTTGAAGTGGTGGAAGGCTATCAGTATTTACAATAAACGAAAAAGTATTTACGTTTGCTATATTCTTCGCTGCTACGATATTCTCAATCAATGCCATTTTCAATTTAAACATTGTTAAAAACACAATATTCATCGAATCAAAAGACGTTCGGTGCCTTTGTCGCAGAAAAAGACGAGAGCAAACCACCAGCAAAGTGACGCCCAAAGCAAACTAACCCTACATTTCTAACATCGACTTTTTAACTAGGATGGTTCTACATCCATGGCGTGCTTTTAATGTGGAGTCGATCGATAATTCCAATATTTCAAATACGTAGAAGAGTTAGTTATAAAAATTATAGGCGACATTATATGCTGTTTACTTAGAAAATCTCCACAGGGCGATTCATGTCTACGTGACAACACAAATATACATTTTTTAAATGGAATATCCGATTCCGGGTGTTTCAAATCCGACCCTTACCGATGGGATCTCGGAAACGGTAAGAGATACGAAGTCGCTTAATGGGGGCAAACCTGCGTATTCAGGCAACTAACAAAATGCCGCGTAGACAGGTTCGAAATTCAAAGTACTTCAGGAGAGAGACGGAGAAAAACAAATTTTCCCAAAATTACTTTTAACTCTTTCCTGACCTTATTTGTAGTGGGATTTCAAAAGTGCATTGGACATTAACATTGCCACTTTTTCTTCTACACAAGACGGCTTAATCAAATTTTCAATTCGATGTTTAAGTCCAAACATTTATTTTTTATTAGTGAAAAATAGGCACAAAATAGTTCCTAATTCTTTTCATGTTGATATTTTAATGCTGACGCAATGCGAACAAAAAATTTCCAATTTATTCCTCAAAACAAAAAAAAAATGAAGCAATGTTATATATTTTCTTTTGATTTTCATTCGTGCGACAGTAACCATCTGATCTCGTGAAAAATATGTAAAGGGTGTTTCAATAAGGATGCAATATTTTAAGGTTCTATTAAACATGGTATTTCGTAACAAACAACTGAAATATTTATTGGATTATGGTGTATACACTTTGGAATTATGTATGAAACAACATGTCAGGTAAATGGCTCTTTTAATAAAATTTGGGGTAAAATTTTTGATCACATGTCGTGGTATCTAGTTGATACAGCGTCTGATTTCAGCTTTCAAAGCTTCGGTGGTTGCAGGCTTGTTGGACTTTGTAGGCATGCAGGTGTCAATCTTTCGCTAGAATACCCTGGAGAGTGGCTGTTTTAATGACATTTTCTTCTGAACAACCTCTGCGAGCTCATCTTGTATGTTTCACATCATCAGAACCAGTACCTTCAAATTTTTGGATTATTCTTTTCACAGTGGATGCACTTTTCGAATCGTGGCAACTAAACCCTCACCACTTTGATAATAATGTTTAACAATTAGGATACGGTGTTCTATTGTGAAATGATTCATATTCATAAACTCCCGCCTGTTTACTATCGATCTGTCATGTCACAATCATTATAACATTATGACGGCCAAAGTGGCGCTAAATTCAAATATTGCGTTCTTATATTGATACACCCTTTACTTTGACACGGTAAAGAATCTCTTAAAATCCGCTATAGTTTCATGGTAACCGATAAAATTATTTTATTTTTGATTTAAAATATCTTTTTAATAATTTTTGTGGTTAGGCTGTTAAAAATATGCAAAGTAATGCATGCTTTTGTTTGATTTTAAACTAACTTCTTCCTGTCAAACGTATTCTTAAAAAAAATAGCTCTTTTGGTGTGCCGAGGGATAGCAGAGGGAAATCATTTTAATTGTGCGAGAAAAAGTCGCTTACTAATTAAATATATTCTAGCTGATCAGAAAGTTGAAATTGGACAAAGTTGGTTCATTATTATCGTATTTCTTTTTTACTTCTTATTATGCGAATTTCAAATGCAAATTTATTATTATTATTTTTTTTAATTGATGCATATATACATATATTTATTAACTATAATGCTATGCTGTAGCCACGCTTTTTAAAATGTTCCTTTGGACCTTCCCAGCATACCACATCTTTAACAATTATACAAAATAATATTCTAGAGGTTTATTTTAGTAAAAAACATCTTATATATTTCTCCACTTGGTAACGATAGCTGCAGGTTAGTCTATTCCTAAACGTATATTTATTGCTTTACACACTGTCACACTATACAGGGTGACTTTGAAGTTGAGTCATTAATTTTCAGATAATGATTGTAGAAGGAAGATAAACCAAAATATGTGTGTAAAAATAAAAAAAAAATTAAAAAAAAAATGTTACCTTGTTTTATAAAGTATCCTCCCAACAAGTATTTCAGTGCGGACCTGTATTTGATCGTGAGGTCCCCTGTGAGGTCTTAAGTCACCTGATTCACGAGCCCGTTGTACTACATTAACAAAGGCACGAGGGGTTGGTTGCACTCGATTGGGAAACCGATCCGCATAAACATGTGCCATTTTTTATTTCGTTTGAGCCACGCAACAGACACCAATATTCACACGCGTTACCGACTGACACTGACTGTATGTATACAACTGAATAAAATAATTGTAAAAACATCGTTCCAAATTCTTTCGCTTTTTTGTTTCCGATGCGATGAATCGATAAGGCGGATTATATCCGTTGTTGCCAAACACGAGCACATGATATTATTATTGAGACAGGGCGGTACTCAAACTTCCAAAGGGCTATAACTTTGTTACTTTAATTTTACCAGAAAAATGGTAAAGGAAAAAAACATTTCTTTTGATCAGATCTACTCACTGTTAAAATAAATGACTCAACTTCGAAGTCATCCTGTATATGTGAAAACTATTTACAAATATTAGCTGAAAAAAAGTTAAAATAAAATTATTTTGTTGAAAAAATGCTGAATATTGAGTCTGGTAACATTTTTTAATATGCTGTATTTGTTTCAGGATGGTTTGCTACCATCAGGCCTTCAGGTGGAAACAGGTTATCTCTTGAACCTCAACGATGTCCAAAGACAAGACGGAGGAATCTACCAATGTACAGCTTCAAATGGAATCGGCCAACCAGTGACTGGCGAAATTCGGCTACATGTTCTTTGTAAGTTTATTTTCAATACTATCACTTCAAACCTAAACTTCCTTTTTAAAAATTCATGCCCTAGGAGTACTTGATTTGTTCTGAAAAAAAAATGTCATCTATTTATCGGAATATCTTTAATCTAATTTTATGTTCACTATTTTTCCTTTCAAGTATTTTAATCGCGAAAAATTTCGAAAATGGGATATTGTGTTTTTTGGATGTTATATATTATGTACATCACGAAAAACCATGTCACTCGTTTCCGTCTGTCTGTCTCTCCGCTAATCTTTAGCCCGTCTATAACTTGGGAAATACTGTTCGGATTTTGATGAAACTTTCACACAAGGTCGCTCAAACTCAGTTTTTTTGACGTTTTGACGTTTCTGTGGCTCCAGATCATTTTATAAAAAAAAATTGCGAGGGTTAAAAATTGGGGATTGTAGGGGGTCGTAAATGTTATGTATTTAGCATCAGTCAAAGGCATTATATGATTAAGAAGCTTCTGATCCCGGTTGTTACCGGGAAAATTAAATGACAAAAGTCGCTTAATATGCTCCGGCCACAGAATGTAATCGATCCCGGATATGTAGGGCACATTGAAGCATTTGATTTTCGTGAAAAAAAAGTGGTGTTGATTTGAAGAAAGATTGAGGAATCTAATTTTGAAATTTGCGTGTGCGTTTAGTATAGGTAACTTTTGCTCCCCCTGGTAGGCGTAATATGCCTCGGCCACGGAATGTAATCGATCCCGGATATGAAGGACATATTGTAGCATTGATTTTCGTGAAAAAAAGTGATGTTGATTTAAAGAAAAATTGAGAAATCTAATTTTGAAATTTGCATGTGCGTTTCGTATAGGTAACTTTCGCTTCCTCTGGTAAGCTTAATATGCCCCGGCCACGGAATGTAACTGATAATCTAATAATACTGATAACACATAATGTATATATGTACTATAACACCGTTTTACATGGAAAGCCTGCTTACGTTTCGCCGGCTTCCTTGCTTTGTGACGCGCGGCACGGCCGCTGGTGAGAAGAGGTGTTACCACTTGTTGCTGGGTGATCGGTGTTGCTAGAATCATCGCGGTACGGTTGTAAATTGTTGCATTTTTGGTGTGAGTAAAAGATCTTCTGTTATTAAGAAGCTGCTGATCGCGGTAAACAGTTAGACAGAATAAGTCACACATGTTTTCCCTACATCTGCCATGGAAACAGAAATATGACAGATTTATTATATATAGTTTGATATGTAGAGGTTGAAGAAACATCGTACCTAAGTACCTGGTCACGATTCGATTCCGGCTTCTGAAACGACCTGACCCATCGCTATTCTTAGAAACCTCCAACGAAGGCGTGAAAGTATAGAGTCAATCTTCTTGACAGCATTTTTCTGTTTTTTATTGTCAGTTGCCGATGTCTAGTATGGTGTGACACTGTTAGTCACTCATTTCCAAAGTCTGGGCGTTTGAATAAAACCAATATTATAATTAATTTTCTTCCAGATCCTCCTGAAGTCAGCGTTCTTAGATCGTGGGTGAATTCAGGCGAAGGATTAGAAGCGAAACTAGATTGCATCGTGCACGCAGATCCCCCGTCAGAGGTGAGTAATTACAAACGATCAACATTTCATGTGTCTTGAGCATGCCGGAGCATATTTGAAATAATAATGTCACTTCGGAGATTGCTGCCGTAAATGGAATACCGCAATGTACTGATGCAGTGATAATGACCTTGCAGATATCTGTTTTACGGTACTGGCCATTTTTTAATTTTACTGCTACAGACTTAGTTAACAGCTACGAGGGGTACTAGAAAAGAAGTCTTGAAATTATAAGGGCATCACACAATAGCATTTTCAGTTTATTGATCAATATATTTCTTTGAAGATATACGTTTGGGAATTCTATATTTATGATCTTGAACATAATTCTTCTATATGCAAATCAAAATTTAATTCATTATTCAACCATAAACCTAAATTTTTGGTAATGGTTATAATTGGTAACGGACCTTTATTAATTGCTAATTGACAAAGATTTTCTGCTACATTACGCTCGTTTTTTAATCCAAAAATCACTATTTTAGATTTATTAGCATTTAGTGTCAAGTTACGAGCTGCTGAGATATTGAAAAGTGAGTCCAGGTGGCTGTTAATTACGAGTAGATTAAAAGAGGGAACCACATCGTCAATAGCAAGGTTGCAGTGTATTTGGGTATCATCTGAATAGTGATGAATTTTGCTGTGTGTGAAAATGGAGCCTTAGGGTACACCCATTAAATTCTTTATTAATGGATTAATATTTACGCTTGGCACACAAAACTCTGTGGTCAATTTTACCAAAAGCCTTACTGAAATATAGTAATATTAAACAAACAGCTTTACTTCAATGTAGTGAACTAACAATCGACGACGATACAAGTGAGTGCTACTATTGTGTCACAAGAATTTCGGAAACCAGATTGGACGTGAGGTAACATATAATTTGTTTTCGACATATCAGGAAATTTGTCAATCCACAATTATCTCTAGAATTTTGGGAAATATTGGTTATATGGTCTGAGGTCTGATATTTGTTTTACATTTGACATTTTAGCCAAATGTTTTCGAAATTTTCCACATATCGGGAAACATATTTCATACAAGGCAACTGTTAACAATAAAAGTAACATGATCTAGAAAATTTTCCACAAGTAACAGCAACATCCTCCTGGATATCCCATCGTAACCAACTGCTTCTTTTTTGATTCAACGGATCCATTTGGATATATCTGAGGGTCTTACTGGTTTAAAAACTAATTTTTCCGGATCATTATGGTCATAATTGTGGTACCTTTCAAGTAAACTTAGTTGGTGTTGAGTTCAGTTGACTACTGGTAAAGTTGAAAAATATTCATTGGTTTCATTTGGTGTGCTTAAATGTTGGGAGATTTAAAAAAATGTTTACTTTTGTCTCTCAATAAGTCGTTGGCGGCTGCTGATAGGCCATCATCTGAAACTAAACGGCGGCCTCGAAGATTTTTCTTAGTAATCTAAAGATAAAGGTTAGACGGAGCCAAGTCCGATCTATAAGAAGGATGGTCTATCTCAATGAAGCTGCATTCCTGCGAAATTGATCGCTTTACGTAATTTTTTCAGCGTCTTCGCATAGACATCCGCATTTATTGCTGTCCCTTTTCACATAATATTTATACTCATTAATAAGGATGCCCCTGATGTCCCAAGAAACTGTTGCCATCAAGTTTACAGAAGAGGGCTGCATCCGTGCCTTTTTGGGGAGTGGCGACCTTTTCTAAAACCACTGTTTTTGTCTCAGGATCCCAATAATGCACCCAGGATTCGTCGCCCGTCACAATTTGTTCAAAAAAGTCAGAATCGTTGGTCAAAGTTTTCAAATGACGTTCTGAAATTCTGAAAAGTGTTTAACAGTCGTGGATCCCACCTGGCTGACACCTTACTCAAATTGTCATGCAAGACGATTATTGCGCTTAGTTCCCATATATTCAATGTCATACTTATGGTAGAGACTACACAACGATCTTCTAGATCCATGACTTCAACTATTCGAGTCTTTTGCTCTTTTGTTGCTGCTTTGGGTCTTCCACTGCTAAGATCGTCTTCTACTGATGAAACTGTTTCGACCCAAATTTTATTGTATAATATGATGGTATATCATACCCATAGACGGCAACCATCCTCTAAAGAACTGTTATACAGAAATTTTATGATACTGCGATACTTTAATTTTAAGTTACTCATTTTTCCTCACATTTCACTGTATAAATTGGAAGTTAATTATCATGATTAACTCAAATTTTGCAAGTAAGGCTAGAACACATGTAAATGTTTGACATATTATGCTTGTGCGTCTTCTAGCTTTATTCGTATTAATCTTCAACACTGGCGCTCCCACGGGGGGGGGGGTAAAGGGGATAATTACCCCCCAGACGACTCGAGCAGTCTTTGCAAAAATTGGTATAAAGTAAACTTCTTATAAAAAAATCTGTAACTTTAAGAAAGAATAGCGGCAACACTGCCAACCTGCTCAGTACGCATGCCACTAGCGACTACTCTCCCACCATCCGCAACGGTGTGCGCTTCTTCCTGTTGGAACAGGTATAGTCTAGTCTTTTATGGTCTAGTCTAGTGTCTAAATTCGGTACCAGTCCGGAGTCCGCAACAAAATTTGGCTGCGAAGTGAACAAGCGGAGTTTTGTTGATCTGGTTGGTATTAACGCTATTTTATATGTTCTATTGATTTTTTATTTTCCACGCATAAGCCAGAAAATTAATTTTTGTTTGTTTTTAATTTTTATACTATAAAGGAATCGTGTCTAAAAAAGTGACAGGCGGAAAATGGAAATTTAATATAATTTCAATTACGAAGTATTTGGTCCATACTCCAGCTATCATTATCATCTATGTCTATTTTTTCTCGGAAGTCCCTGTATATAATCACTTCAGTGCATTTCGTTCGTCCGGGATTGCAAATGATATATTTAGTTTTTGAAAATTGCGTGAACATAAGAAATCATGTTTTCCAAACAGAAAAGGTTCTTTGTTATGAGATAGCTGAATGCGTGGAAAAGAATAATGCCGTTTATTTGACGATATTTGTGTAACTTTTAGTGCTGGTTGACGGCTGCTGTTGTCAGGATGGGTAAAATGAAACAGAATACCATCGATTGGTTCCTTGCTAAACAAAACAAACTGTCTGATCCACCGGCCCAAGAATTACCGGAAGAAACTGATGATAAACCTACAATTCAACCTGAGCCTTCCACTTCAAAATGTCTTGATGTTGCACCGTATGCTGAACCAAGTATTGAACAATTGGGAGCGAAACCTAAAGGATCCAGTTTTGTTGATGTTGCGCCATATGTAAATCTCAGCGGCAACTTGTCTTCCCATGAAAAATAGAGTTATACCTTATTGAGGTATGCAATGATCCCTAATGACTCTTTCAAATATGCCTATTCCACACACTTGAAAAGCAATAAAGAAGTGAAATGTTATCAAAAAAATACTTTGAGAAATTTCCTTGGCTGTCATATTCAGAGGAATTACAAGGGCTTTTCTGTAAATATTGCGTGCAAAATTAGGAGTACATAAGTCAGCTTAATTGAGAAAACTTGTTACCGTACCACTAAAGAAATTTTCGAAATTATATGGCAAAACCGGTGATTGTAAGACACATGAGAACTCAATATATCATCCAGAAGCAGTTTCAGATGCTACAAACTTTTTAAAGATTTACGAAAATCCATAGAATGATATAAGAAATATAATAGGTTCAGAGCGAATTAAGCAAGTATCAGAAAAATCGGCAAAGATTGACTCCTATAATAGAATCTATCATTTTTTTAGGACGCCAAAATATACCACTTAGAGGGCATAGAGTTAGGGGACGACTTTTTTCTAATGACAGCACGAAGGACGAGATGAAGGGAATTTTAGAGAACTAATACGGTTTAGAGTCGAGAGCGGCGACAATTTATTGAAAAAAACTTAGAGAACTCAAAAACGCATGCTACGTACATAAGCAGCCGCATCCAAAATGAAATTATAGAATGTTGTGGCGAAGAAATCTTGGACATAGTTTTAAGTCGCGTCAGGAAAAGTCAGTATTACACATATTTGACGAAACTACAGGTATTAGCCATAAATCACAAATGTCAATCATATTGCGGTATTGCTATCAAAAACGTATTTACGAGGACTTCATGGGATTTGTGGATTGCTACTCAAATTTTGTTGAAGATACAATGGATCCCAAACTCACAGGTCAAACAGGTCAAATTCTTGCTCAAACAGTCAAGCATTTCATTAAAACTAATAACTTAGACTCAAAACTATGTGTGGGCATTGGTACTGATACGTATAACCTAATGTCAGGTGAACATAAGGGCGCTGTAATGGAATTGCAAAAATGTTTGCCAAATGCTCTAAAAAGCCCATGCGCAAATCATGCCTTGAATCATTCGATTTCAAAAAGCAGCATTGCCCAGTCAGTAAGAAATACTGTAGGTATAATGAAGGAAGTAATGCGTTCTTTAAAGCATCCGGTAAAAGAAATACAGTATTGAAAAGAAAACTACACGGATGTCAAATTCATAGTATGTTTCTTTGAAGACAACCATTACTTCCACCCAATTTATCGTGTTACTAAAGTGTTTGTGTGATATATTAGCTTTAACAGTCAACCTGAGTAAGATTTTACAATAAAAGATAATTGACAAACAATACGCTGTCAAACTCATAGGAAATATTATTTCAGTTGTACAAGAAAGACGCGCAAATTCCGAAAAACACTTTATATATTTAATACTATTCGCATCTATAATGAAATCACATGTAACCCTGGGTATTGAACTGACTGTGCCAAGAATAACAAGCAGGCAAATGATGTTCCTTTGCTAGATAATATATTACAGGATTTGGTATACCGGTTCAATGAAGAATCTTTGAATATATACAATTTTAATATTTTCTTTGCGTCATTATTTAATTCAAAAACTGAAGCTGAAGTAATGGACATAGTAGAAACAATCTCTAATATTTGCATGGACTAACTAGTAACGAAAACAAAAATTTAATAAGTACCAGATTAAAAGCAGAATTTGATCTTTGGAAGTCACGTACACAAGATATCATAGACAGTGGAATGTCACTGTATTTATCATGTGATGAAAACATGTTTCCTTCAATTAATAGATGCCTACAATTATTATTGATTTCATTGCCGGTAAGTGTTGCGACATCTGAAAGAAGTTTCTCCCATCTAATGAGGCTAAAAACTTGGCTGCGCTCCAATATGTTACAAGAGTGATTAGTGGGTTTAGCGCTTTTGTATATACGTAGAGATATTAAAATAGACGTGAATACAATCATATAACGGTTCGTCAGCAAAACAATAGGCGCCATGATTTTGTAATATGATAACACCTGAACTTTGCCTAAGGTTGTCTCTCAAATCCATCTCCCTTCTATTGGCCAATAAATAACAAAGCAGATGTAGTTAAGGGTTTACTTCCGTTTAAATCACCACGGTGATCTTTTCCAAAGTATCCAATTACGATATGTGTTTTTACTTATTGGCCAGCAGATTGATATAAAAGTCTGTTTAAATTCTGTGCAAATCACTTTCTAAGCTAGTGTAATGATTGTTTTATTTTGAGACTGTGAACTGATGTAGTTTCATAGTTTATATATTTCTGTTTTTTGACTAGCTAAGAGAATGTAGTCATGCAATTAATATTTTTTGTGTTTTTCTCATGACTAAGAATTTTATTTTGATTTACATTAAGTTTTATATTTTATAGCAGGCGTAACATATTTGTTATTGTTATTTTTTTCATGAAGATGTATTTTTTGTTGCTTTGTCTGACATTGTTATCTATAAAAGTCTGTGATAGATTATATTATTTTGTATTTTTGTTTTAATATATGAAGATTGCTCGAGCTTGGTTTGTTTTATTTACACTTTTAATGTCATATGATTCAAAATTAAAAAAAATTGTATGTATTTTCTACAGAAATTACTGTAACAAATTCATATGTCTGCATAAGTCCTTGCTTTTAATGTTAAATCACTATAACACTTCAGTACGCCACACTGAGAAGTTACTTTCCATTTTACCCCTCCCAGATTGAAATCCTGGGAGCGCCACTGATCTTTAATTCAGTACGCTCGGCAACTTAGGGCACTTGGACGATAATGCCAGTAGGGACACAAAAGGGCCCGTCTACGTAATGTACGTCAGTCATTGAAACTTCCCTTTCTCTCATTCATTTAATCGTACTATGGTAGGGACAGGGGGCTTTTGCATATTTAGTATGATTTTGTGTACAATTTTTAGGATTTGATCCCTCTGAGAAAATTTGCTACCCTTCATCCTTCAAAAAAGTTTTGGGGACAGGTAAATCATAAAAATTTATCTCTTGCCGATGATCGGCCTTCTCTGAGAAAAACACCTGCTGCCGCCCATGTGCCATATGAATTTATTCATAACTTTTATATTTAAAAGTTTCGCTTGCATTACAAAACAACTCCTGAATACGACTAGTAACTAATTGTGAACGAAGTTTAGGGGAAAGCGGGGTAAATACTACGGAATCTCATTGTGATATTGCTCTACCATCCGGAGTCCGCAACAGTCCCAGTAGCGCATTCAGTATCAGAACTTCGAAATACAATTATATTTCGGGATCCAGTCCTCAATATTACATAATTGTGTAGTAGTGGCTTTCCATACTTTTTATCACGAGGTTCAAAGCAAAGGAAAAATGCGCCCGTCCGGTCCTGACTGCCGTTCACCTTGATGATCTAGTGGCGCACCGTCCTATTCGCTTCATTGTGGTTTTCGTGCTTGTGCGACAAGGTTCATTGCGTTCGCTGCCTCAGCTAATAAACAGAGACGAAAAACCGAGTGATATCGCCTGACTTGATACCCCAGGTAATTCTTTTTGAATTATTCTCAAATATTTTCGCCTTTAACATAGGAGATTCAGGGCCTATTTAACGGGACTCCTTAGAAGCATCATACAATTTACTTTTATTTCAGCCCGTTTTTTCAGGGATTATTATGGGTAAATCCAAGAGTCATAAGAAGAAAAATCGCTCACCGAGCAACGCCAAGGGTAATAATGATTGCGACACGTATACCTACTTATTAGAAAGAATGGAGAAACTAGAGACCTTAATTAATCGTCGCAATTCAAGATCTCTGTCCACTTCTTATTCAACCCATAGTCGTTTGTCACGACAAAGGCGTCGCTCAGAACACACACGCAGTCCAAGCGTGTCGTACCGTCGTCGCATGCCGCGTCGATCGATTTCGAAATCGAGAAGTCGTTCCCGCTCTGGCGCTTCTCACTCTTCCTCCCATCGTAATCGGAGAGAGAGAGAATCTCGATCGCCGATGACACCGATCCATGCTCGAACCTTGCCGGTTCAAGATGAGGAGCAGCTATCTAAATCTCTCCAGCTGGTGAATGCAACGTTGCCACGTGCAGAAGCAAATACCGAAAATATGGATTGCGGAGACGACACTTTGATCTTATATAACGATGTAACCTTACCTGAGGACATCTTAAAGCTTATGGGAAAAGATGTAAATACAGACCAAAGCGCTGTTTTTTCCCTGCACGATCAACTTACTACGATCTGGCAAACTATTTTGACTAATGGCTTGAAAAAATCTGATGCTCAAACGCTTTTTAATGCATACCAAACATCAGAAAAACTATCATTCCTTCGACCTCCCGAATTGAATCCGGAAGTAAAGGCTGCCTCGTCAAAACAAAACATCTCTGTGGACGCATCTTATGTCGAGATGCAAAATCAACTAGGAAAAGGCCTGGCTGCACTAGGTAGATCAATTTCCACGATTCTCATTGATTTAGAACATATGCCAGATCAATTCAAGGGCGATTTCCTTACTAATCTATGTGATAGCGGACGAATTCTAACGAATCTCTTACATCGCATGTCGGTTACACGAAAGAACCTTCTCGTTCCTGGTCTAAAAATATCTAAAGAACTGGCAGATGACTGCCTACCCGGAGAATTTCTTTTTGGTTCTAATTTAACTCAGAAATTAGACACAGCAAAATCTCTTCTAAATGTGAGTAAGGATCTGAAACTCCCGACTTATCAGAATAAAGTGGGCGCTTCTAAACCAGCACTCGCTCCCAGAAGGGCACAAAAAGGAGGAGGGGGACAAACCCGAGCTGTCTATACAGACACCTCAAGATCATCAGGGTCTTTAAACTCTCGCCCCCCGACTCACCGATTGGGGGCAGTGAGTCACGAGAGGGGCCCCTCATCCAGATTTCACAAAAACACCTATTGGAACAAACCACAAGAGAAGAGGAGACGACATTAGAATTGGTAAGCAACTATGCAGGTCGCTTGAATTCTTTTTATCAGAAATGGTTAACCCTTACTGACAATCGTATTGTTTTGGGTTGGATCTCAGGATATAAATTACCATTTGTTAAAACACCTATTCAGCCACAAATCCCAAATAACGCTAATCATTCATATGATGAAAACCAATTAATCGGTTCCGAAATTAGTAGGTTACTAAATTCTGGGGCTATAGAAAAGTGTCACGGTAATGTAACTGGGCAGTTTGTTTCTCCCATTTTTTAACCGACAAGCCTAACGGTGGAAAACGCTTTATTTTAAACTTAAAGCGATTAAACGAATTTATCTACGCTCCGCATTTTCAGCTAGAAGACGCCCGAACAGCAAGTAAGTTAGTGCATCGTGGCAACTATGGAGCCACGCTAGACTTGAAAGACGCCTATTATATGCTAGCAGTTCATCGTGACCACAGAAAATATTTACGATTTTCTTCCAAGGATGTTTTATATGAGTTTACTAATGAAACCAATCGTCAACCACGTGAGAGCCAGGGGCGCACCCTGCGTAATTTATCTGGATGACTTTTTGGTTTTGGGACCATTGACGAGTGTTCTAGAAACATTCGTTTGGTTGCTTCTCTTCTAATTTCTCTGGGATTTGTTGTCAATTGGCAAAAGAGTGTCCTCTCACCTTCTACGGAATTTAAATTTTTTGGGTTCGTTTTTAATTCTATCGAAGTGACCATAGAATTACCACCAATAAAACGTCAAAAATCTCAAATTGGATAACGTTTTTTTAAAAAACGCACTCTACTTGTAAAATTGTAAAGTTAGCCCAGTTTCTCGGGTTGCTTACATTCGCTTGTCCAGCAGTGAAGTACGGATGGTTGTATACCAAAATATTAGAAAAGGAAAAGTTCCTTGCTTTGTGCCAACACTCCCAAAATTACAATGCAACTATGTGCATTAACCAGACGATAATTGAAGAACTTTATTGGTGGGAACACCATATCAATACTGCTAAAAATGATCTTAAACGAGATCATTTTCACCGAGAGATCTATGCAGATGCTGGTTTGTCAGGTTGGGGCGCCTTTTGCCAAGGCGAAAGTAGCTATGGTCGATGGACGGAACAAGAATCAAATATTCACATAAACATTTTGGCACTAAGAGCTATATACTTTGGCCTAAAATGTTTTGCCAGAGATTTATCAAATTGCAACGTTCTTATTCGAACGGACAATTCCACGGCACTAGCTTATGTCAATAAAATGGGCAGCGTGCAGCACCCGCAATTAAATGAATTGACAAGAACCATCTGGAAGTGGTGCGAATCAAAAAATTTATGGATATTTGCTTCCTACATTCCTTCATCAGAGAGCTGGCAAGCAGACCGTGCGTCTCGCGTTTTGCATACCGAGACAGAGTGGTATCTTAACCAACATGCCTTTGATGCAATAGCTCAAACTTTTGGGATCCCTGATATCGATTTGTTCGCGTCCGTAGCTAATCACAAATGTGATAGATACATGTCTTGGTTGAGAGATCCTAGCTCGGAAGAAATTGATGCTTTCACTGTCTCTTGGAAATACTTGAACTTTTACGCGTTCCCACCCTTTTCAATGGTTCTGAGAACCTTACAGAAAATTATCAGTGACGAAGCATCAGGTATCTTGGTGGTTCCTCTTTGGAAGAACCAGCCATGGTACCCATTATTTATACAATTAATTATAGGAAATCCAATCTACTTTGGACCCTCAAGTAATCTCCTGCTTTGCCCTTTCAGCCAAAAGAAACATCCATTATCGGAAAACTTTATCCTGGTGGCGACCAGATTGTCAGGCAAGCTTTTCAACGAAAAGGGATTCCTCCGGAGGCTGTAGACACCATGATGAACTCCTTGAGTGACAATACGATTTCTCAATACAACTGTAGCCTAAGACTTTGGTGGGAATTTTGTCAACTGAGGGACATATTCCCTTTTAAATACGACGTACCCAATATTATTTCATTCCTACAGCAGGTTATGAACACATCAAATAATACTTATAGTTCCTTCAATTCCCATAGGGCGGCTCTTTCCCTTATCACTTCTAGCGATTTAGGGACAAATACAGAGGTAAAACGATTTATGAAAGGAATTTTTCGAACTAGACCGCCTAGGCCTAGATATAATTTTACGTGGAATCCTCAAGATGTACTTAAGTTTTTAAATAAACCGCCCGATAAAGATCTAAGATCCGTATCCTGTAAATTAGTTGCTCTCTTAGTGTTAGCTACCGGACAGAGAATCCAGACTGTTGCTCTTATTAGATGTCCTAATATTAAATTTTCTACCTCAGGGGCAGACATCCAAATCCCCGATTTTGTGAAAACTTCAGGGCCTAAAACACTTCAACCTAAGTTGTCATTGCCATATTTTCA